CCAAAATTAATAATTATCTTCAAATCTAGTATAAGAAACAAGGTATCTTGTATTAAGAGAAAAGAAAGAGCACTTAAAATAACCTTTAGTTTATTAAGATAGGTTTTTACTCAAGATCTTTAATTTAGCAACATCAAATTTTTTAGAAATTTTTAGAAAATTTTTGAAAAATTTTAGAAAATTTGTCTAGACCCTGAAAATCTAATCTTAAAATATATAAACAACAACAAATGCATAAGATCAGAAAAATAACCAAACAAATAAATAGCAGATCATATTACTATTTTTAGAATTAACAGAAAACAACAAGTAAACAAATAACACATGTGCTATTATTAAGAGCTAAAAGATTTTTTTAAAAAACGCACTAGAATTTAATACAACAAAGTAAAATTTAAATCAACTCATAAAGATATTCATACAAGAATTGTAATACACTAAATTATGACAACTCTAAAGAGAATTAAGGGTATATTTTCAAAGCCAGTAGAGGAAAGACAAGAAATATGTAAATTATAGATAAGGTTTACTATTCAAACAGATAGATGAGTAGCAAATTATCTAGGAGTAGAGAATCCAGAATATATATCATTTATTCGTATAGCATTAGAAAACTATAAAACAGCATTTCAAAGATTTTCAAAAGGCAACAAATTAAATACAGAAGATCAAGAACTAATAGAAATAGATCCAAAAACTAATATGATTGAGTTTAGAAATTTGATTATGAAAAGACTACAAGAAGAAGAAACCAAGAATACAACAACTATTATTAAGACTAAAAAAGCAACCTTACCTTTTTTACAAGTAAAAATGGAGATTGAAGAACTTATCATGCAATTAGTTCTCAACGAGCTAACACAAAAAAGAAAATATACAGATCTTGACAAAAATAGAGAAAAAAATAAAGAAGGTCTGAAGTAGTAAACCAAGCCAATCATAAAAAATCGACTTGACTTAGTCGACTTGAGTCGATTATTAATTTCGGTTTTTAACCGAAAGTTGATTTCCTTTATAAGACAATCATGTGATAGTTAAGCACTAATCATGCTTCATTATATGTCATGTAATTTTACATACATTCGAGAATTTCAGTTAGCAAAGAAAAAGATTTTATTACAGGAAATCCGAAATAGATCTAGTATTTTATAATTTTTATCATATATTAATTTTAATATTCTATTAACAATTGAAGTAGCCTATTCAAGATCCAGGTAAACATTGAAGTTTTTATTATTTTCTTTTAAAAAGACCAAGTCGTGAACACTTTCAGGAAGTAATCTATTTCTTTTATCAGTCAACACATTTCCAGCTGTTGAAAATAAATGTTCTGAAGGAACGGAGGTGGCAGGAATTGCAAGATACTGACGAGCTAATTGTGCAAGTAAAGGCAATGTCTTCGAATGTAATTGCCATCAGGAAAGTGGATTTTCAGTTTTATACTCTGAACTATCAGGATCGTATAATGTCATTTGAAGCAGGTCGAAATATGTTTTTAATTCTACATCAATTGGAGAGGATTTTTTGGTACTAGTAGTACTATTAAAAAAGGAAGCTAAGTTTGAAGTTTGTTTTGCTATTGGCTGATTATTTAAATATTCGTCCTCATCTAGCAACATTTTTATTTTTTGTTTGAGAGATTTTTTTGTTGCTTCGAATTTTTCTAAAGCAAATTCTAGATTTTTAAATTTAGGGTCTAAGATTGCCGCCAAATAACCTTCTATTACTGGGTCTTCCCATCGATCAGCTATATTAAGTTTGA